AAACCACGTCACAATCGTCATGATCAACTTCTACTTCTCAAGAAGGATTAGCAAAAGTCTGTTGTGGCAAAAACATAGATCACAGTCATTTCCTGCTTCTGCAATGACCTGGAACGCCAATTGCGCCACCGGAAAAACGCCGTTGGTCTTCGTTAACAGAAATGTCAAAATCAACGCTGCCAAATATCAGCAGCAAATTTAACGGCGCGTACTGGAACCTTGGAGCACTCATCACTTCGGCGCAACAGACTAACTTTTGAGCAGGACAGAGATCTTGCGCATTTGATTTGTTAAAGAAGTGGCATCTATTAAAAGTACTTACCAGGCTTCTAGCGCATGGGACAATTTACAATCAAATTCGCCTCGTCTCAACCTAATGGATTATACCGAGCGGTCCATACTGAAGTAAAGAGTCTCGGCTGCTCGTTACGCTAGCACAGATGCTTTCAAAACGGCATTGGCACACGCTTGGGACGAAATTACTTTGGGAACATGTGCGAGCATCTTGTGCAACTCAACACTGCGATTCGATGGTCTTCACGATCCATAACTTGAGTAAAACTGAAGATACACAAATAAGTAAATTAGATTTTAGACCAAAACTGAACGAGGAATTCAATAAAGTTATCAGCATTAATGAAAAAGTGCATTATCAATATTGAAATTAACAAAATGAAAACTGTCAGAGTTTTCCTTGCACACTGTACATATAATATTTGTCAGCGCAACTGGATTCAATGTTGATATCGACTCCTGGTCAGACTGGTTGACGGTTGGTTTCTGACAAATTGATGCGTTGTAGCGTGGAAGGAAGGGTGGGCAAAACAGGTGCAAGTAGTGCAACGGGTTGTAATGTTCTACATGGGCATCCACAGATGGTCCTCCGTGGGAGATCCCACCCTGTTAGTCGCGAGGGCACGTGGCGGGTGCCCAAGTGGCGGGTAGGAGAATTCAACACGAACCAAAAAAAACCGCGTGCTTAGCAGAGAAGCAGGTGGATTAAGAAGATGAGCTCCCTGCCTCTGCAGCGCCGATTTGACATAGAACAGTACTTCTAATAGTCAAGTCGGATAAATACCTGCAATCAAGCGTCTGGGACGTACATGGAAGGCGCTTAGGAGTCGTCTAACAAATAGGCGCCTCCCGCTCCTTTGAGAGAGACCGACAAGCAGCTCGTGAGAGACCAGCCCACACGTTGAGAACCTAGCAAGATATACGTTTTGTATCAAAATGCTAAAAACGGCAACAATATGGGCCCAACTCCTGACAACGGAAGAGTCGCCGGTACGACAGCGCCGGATAGAACGAGTTCGAAGAAGATGCTGAAATCTCGGAAACGAACTACGATGAAAAAATCGAAACGGACCTAAAATGACGACCTGTACCTACAGTGCAAAAACACTTGCTCACCAATCCACTGTAGAAGATCGATTGCTTCAAGCAAGAAGAATAAGGTACGACGTCATTGGCATAGCTGAGACGAGATGACACCATCCTTTTCACGCTATTTATGTCACCGGAAGAAGAAACTGCTTCTCGTACAGAACATGCGATCGCAGAGCTGTCGGCGGCGCTGGCTCCCTCGTCAAAGCGAATTCAACTGTGAACATCGATTCATTAAATAACTAGCAACCCGCTTAGGGCGAGTGCGGTTGAAGAGATGTGGATGAATGAGGGCTTTGATCATCTCCGTTGCTTACGCACCAGCATCAAGCTATGACGAAGACGAAGTCGAAGCGTTTTATATGGACCTCGGAAAATTTTTCAGAGAAGATCATTTATCTTAAAGGTTATTGCCGGAGATTTTGGCGCAAAAACTGGACCTAGAAGAACGTCGAAGAAACGCCACATTGGGACTTACGGACTAGAATGAAATGAGCAGGGTGAGAGGGTTATCTGAGTTTATCATGACGACCCAAACCACCCATGGTACTTTACAATTGCGAAAGATCACCCTTAACGGTGAAAGTGGGAGTTTTCCAATGGAGAGTGCCATAACGAAACAGACCACGTCTTAGTAAATCAAAAGCTTTGCCTGACCGATGTCCCTGTTATTCCTAAGTTATACACGGGATCAGACCATCGCCTTCTCCGCGCAACGCTCCGTTTATCGCTGAAAGGACAGAAAGCCGCTAAATTCAAACAACGAAGTCTCAAAAACTACCCATAGTGAAACCTACACAAATCACTAGCCGGCTACCTGGGAAGATACCGCTGCCGGCAATATCGACGAAGAATACGACGGGCTCGTAGAATGTCTTCATGTTAGCGCAATGAAGGCGGAGAGTCCATAAATCAGAAAGAAATTCTTGCCTCCGCAGACACTCGAGCTGACACGTCAACGTGGAACCGCGCGAGCTACAGGCAGCTAAACCACACGTCTGAGCTTGCAAAAAGCGGCAAAGAAGCGAAGAAAGAAGACCTCAAAGACAGAAGAGCAGCAGTTATGACAAAAGGCAGAAGCTGGGAAGAGCATTCGCAAAGCACAGCGAAGGTTCTCCAACCATAAGACCAAGACGTTTGCACTCCGACGCCTTGCCAGGACGCTTATAGATTTTAGAAGGGTAATAGAGAAGGACCCTCCACCACTACTACTTGGATCTCTTGGCTAGCCATGTCCTCTCTACCGTTATATAGATTGGAAAAGGACAAATCTTTCGCTTTACCAGCCATTCCATCAAAATCCGACATGATATATTATCGGTGAAGTATAGAACAACATTGATCCAGACATGATTAGACCACAACACCTGAAAAATCTATCGCCAGTTCTCATAAACACCCTGGTTCGGATCTTTACTCGCTACCTTTCGAAATGCAAGGCTCCCAATCAATGGAAAGCCAACAAGACCGTGTTGTTGTCCAAAAGGGAGGCATTCACGACATAGGCAATTAACGCACCATCTGCTAGCTGTCCGTTATCCACAGCGGGTGATTGTAAAGAGCAGATATCATTCAGTCACCTTAAACAAAGTGAAAGGATGGAGACTGATGGATGTCGCTCCCTTAGGGATTGAATACAACGCCGAGAGCTTCGATCTTTTTATCCTTTTACCGGCAGAAGACCGTGGACGATGGTTGTCTATATTTGAAGAATACCTTTTCCTTTTCCTGTCGAATTGCGCTCAAAAATGATACTCTCAAAAACTTCTCAAAACTTTTGCTCAATCCTAGAATTTGAGATGAAATTGTTTAACCTTGGATGTGTTCCACTGTAGGATATGAACGATTTGGAGTCAAATACAAAAACTCCTCGAGGTGAGCAATATCATAGTAGTCTACGAAAAAAGAGATCGAAGAAAATAGATAAAAACCCCACAAGCAAGTGAGGTCACAGAACTCAGATCATGATGGGTGACTAGACATTGATTTTATAAGAGTATTCTGACTGCTCAAACTTTGTGAATTCACTAATGGGCAATTTCATCTAAGCAGATCGCTGAGGCTAAACACATGCAAGGCTCCACTTATTACACAACATCCTAGTGATCGTCGGCGAGTGCTACAAGAGCGAACTGAATAAAGTTATCATCAAGTGTAGGATTGAAGACTTATGAAACATATTCGTGTCTGGGCCAATCGACGTCTTAAAAGAGACAACGATGTTGATTGGGCACTAAAAAAAAACACGAATCGACTATGAATAGAAGAGGAAGAAGCAAATGTAGGAGGAAATTGGTTGTATAGGCTACGCATAAAACGAAATAAGAGAAAGAACAAGAGATGAAATCACTAAATTTTTTTTCAAAATCAAACAATCTTAGTACGGCTCGAATTTTGTTGCCTTACTGTGAGGGTGTGAGATTTTCGTTTGCAGTGCAATACACATAAACATCAACGAAAACAGTGAAGACACTATTAATATTGACCAAATCTCGTTTACTCAATGGTTTCAATGCTGAACATAGGAGCTTATGGCATCAAAAAGTAGAAAATGTGTTATAGCCTAAAAGTGTGCATGATTCAAAAGGAAAAACGGTTCCTTCCTGTCAGACGGTGACAAATGATGAAACGACCTCTTTCGCTGTAAAGAAAAACATTTCATAAGAGTAGAAATCACTTTGAAAGCTCAAATCTGTGGCTATTGAGCTAAATGTTTTTTTTTTCAAAATAGACCCATTCTATAAAGCGGTAGCGCTGTGAAAAAATAGAGAATTGGAAAATAGAACTATGTTTACACCACCCACGCACTTCTACTGTTGCTTTGCTGAAAGAACAAAAAACATGAAGGTGTAGGGGAAATTGTGTGGCTTCAGAGTCATAATGGTTTTTTCAAAAAAAAAAAAACACGGCCAGGTAGAGCGGCCAGAATTTTAAGTCCAGAATAATTACTAAAAGTACAATAAAAAATCTTTGTTAGATAAAAGTTCATTTTTCATTTGTCGAAGTCTGTCAAGAAGAAGCCAAAAAATCTATCTGCAAGCCCACTTTCCAAAACTCGCAGAAAAATTTTTGTTCTCTCCCAGAGTAAATTTAAAACTCTTTTTACGAGCGAAATTTCTGTTGTCCTACTGCCTTTTCGCGGCGTTATGATATTCCATATATTCCTGAAATGATTTAGTAATGAGCAAAATACGACCTCAAACGGGAGTCGAACCCGCGTTTCATCCGTACGGAGAGTGCGTGCTACCATTACACCACCGAGGCACATTTGCGCCACCACTCCTTCTTCGACATCTCTGTGCTAGCTGTCAGCCACTATCCTTTAAGAAGTTTGGTCGGATGTGCAATTTCACTTTATAAACCCAGTTGGGCTGGCAATAATCGAAATTTCTATTGTTTTACCGAACTTTTCGCAGTGTTGTGATGTTTCATTTAGTCCTAGGAGAATGAGCGGTGAGCAAAAACACGACTTCAGGCGAGAGTCGAACCCGCGTTTCACCCACACCGGGGACGAGTGCTACCACCACCCCATCGCATGCACTATCCAATCCTGTTTGAAGTTTGGGGGGGTGACAGCCGACATAGAGTTGTTAAAGAATGAGTGGTACCACAAAAGTGCCTCGGTGGTGTAGTGGTAGCACGCGTCCCCGGTATGAATGAAACGAGGATTCGAATGCCGCGTGAGTCGTGCTCTTGCTCACTACTCGTTTTCATAATCACCATGAGAAAATCGTTAGCACACAAGAAAATTATTAAGCAAAAGAAAAAATTGGTTCCACTTGATTATAAGAAAGCAAAAAAATACCGATCTCATGAGCTGGAGAGAAACATTTTACGGTAGTGTTGGTAACCATACGAAAGCTGAGAACTAGGGCTACCGCCTCACTTTGCGGGTTTATCAAAACACCCTGTATAACGTTGTATGATCTGCATCAAAATTCGCTTCACACTCGCCTTTTGCCTTTATTTTGATCCCGCGTATAATTCTCTGGGAGCCGAAAAGCATATCAATGTGTAGAGAAATTTTCGTAGTATCTTAGTCAATCGGTATACCCATAGTTTCCTCCAAAGCGGAAAAAAAAATTCCCATTTGAATAGATATCATAGGTCGTCCCGCCTGGCCCCGCCCTGTCACGCCTCTGCCGCGGACTTCGTCTTATCGGATAGCCTGGATACAACGTTACCATAATGTAAAACTTGATCTTATTCTCCCTGTCAAACCGTATTTATAGAAAATAAGCACACCGTTAGGAACAGAAGACATTAGCTTACTAGATGATGACTGATATTCTAAAGAAAGAGCTCTGTCTGGCGAGGTTTAAAGCACAAATAAGAAGACCACAGGAGATTGAAAGGTCAAAAGAGCTTTCCTCAAAGCAAACGCAGTTTCGAGTTCCTTGAAGTTTCTGCTATAGTTTTTAGTACTACCACTTTGAGGAAGGAGTTTTGTACAGCGAAATATAAGCGAGATAAAAGGAAGAACACGTGATTTTATTAAACACGAACTCATTTTGAATTTTACAAGGTCATAACGGGGTATCTCGAAAAACATATAACGTGGAGCTAAAGCCACGATTCTCAACTTTCGAATGATTACTATCACTTATAAAAGCTCTTCTCTAGCAAATAAAATTAATTTTTCATTTATTCCCCTCTCATTAGAAGGAACTAAAAAAATTTGAAATTCCAACAATGAAGAGCGGTGTGCAAAAACATTTGCATCAGCCGGGATTCGAACCCAGATCTCATGCTTTACGGGAGCGTGAGCAGATCCGTTGCACCATCGACGCTCGTTTTGCACACCGCTCTACATTATTTGGTTTATTGTAACATCATAGCATCGCAAAATGCGGTCAAATGAAGTGAATTCAAATTTAATAATTGATTTCAATAAGAAAAATCAAGTACCTCAAGAACTGAAGACGACCGGTTCACTCGGCGTCGGCTCGCCGACAAATAATTGGTCGGCCGACGAGCATTCCGTGAATTGTGCAGATACACTGACTTGGAGCGTGCTTGACATGTTAGCGCGCCAAATTCAAATCTGTGCGCGAAGGCGCGGGCTCAACAACGCCGTGTCACGAGGATATCGATTGATTAGACGGGCCCCGCTCTTTGCTCTTCACGTCATGTCGCCTCAGTGGAGCAATCCAAGTTTAAAAACCCTAACACTGTGACGTAGAACTCACATGTGGCTCAGTGATTAAAGGTGCTCTGCGTCGCACACGGGGTCAATGGTTCGACCTGGCGCTCATGGCTCAGCAAGCCGTCCATCCCTTCGGAGTCGATGAATTGATACCAGACTCGTTTAGGAGGATAAGCAATAGTGACTCGGTGCAGGGTAGATCACCACGAATCATCGTGAAAGGCCAGATATGCATTCAATCACCTCAAATGACGTTAAAAATTCAAGACGAATTCATGGCGCATCTCTCAGGGAATGACCCCGAGAGCTTTATCCTTTATTTTTCATAATACTGTGGACAACGTCAATCAAATGTGTTAGAGGAAATTCTTGTGAGTCTATCACAATCAACTACTTACATGCATACGCGCACTGTAGTGGTTAGAGGTGCTCTGCAGTACATATTAGATCGTTCACAGGTTCAACCCAGGCCCTCGAAATCAGCAAACCATAGTCTAGCATTATCATTGAAGCGAGTCCTCTCTTGAGAGAAGGAGACACATCTGATTCATTGGTAAAGCATTCCATGCTACTAATCAATCGAAACGTATTCGACTACCTTTACAATAATCAGTGAAGTCGAGTGCAAGGCAAGTCGAATGCATCTACAAACTTGTTGGACGACGTTCCAGAAATCTAGCTCAACAAATGCGATGCTTTGTAATGCAAGCGAGATGTTTTACCCAAACGCTGCTATATGGTACATCTGATGACAAAGAGGACAATATTCTGTTATTTGGCAAGCCATTAGGCAATACAATATCGCTGGTGCGGTCTGGGATGGATTTAAAGTGCCAGAACTGATTGTTGAGTAACGGAATGACCTGCAGTCGTTATATGCAACAGAAGAATTGGCTTCGCCTTGTTATAGATCAGAGTGGAAAAATGAGTATCGAGAGCTCAATTTGTGCATGTTTTGTACAAAAGTCGTCCCTTTGGTAGCTCTTTATGTCGTCATGTGTTGTAATGAAACCTTGAGTTTTTCCTTGTTCCATGCTTTTGGGTTTCTTCTAATGTGTTAGCCTTTTTTTGCTACGGGGACGTTCGTGTTACACTTGAAATTGCAGGCATTGTTACAACTCAAACCTACTGACCACACATGCTTATCAAGTTTGTTTTGCCAATTTCTGCGGGTTTGGGGACCGAGCGTCTTACATTTTATCTCTGCTATGACTCCACATTCAGTGTTAGCATGTCACAACCCTGCATGAAATCTGAATTACGGTGCACGATTGAATTTCATCTCAAAAAACCAATTGCATTTTCATTCTGCACTTAACTATTAGGTTAATAACTATTCATGCTGTATTTTATAAGTCTTCTACTTCAATGACTATTGTTCCTGGATTACCTCTGTGAGTGAGATCTTAGAGGATATGAAAGGACTGAAACAACCAATTAGGAACTTTAATGTTGTGGAGATCGGTCCTCATTTCATTATATCAACGTTTCGCAAATTTTAGAAAATCAGCCATCATTATGTTAGATAGGAGGCTGTGTCCAAGTAGCTGTGACGTTTGTCGCAGCGCGTGGGGTCTAGCCTCATCTCCCGACATTCTCCGGCAGTCAACAACGATTGCTTATGGAACGTCACAATCAAGCTATCCTCGACATTGCCAAGATGGCGGGCTCATCCAGTATTCTATGACGCTGAATAAGACGTAAAGCGACTGAATGCTAGAAGTACTGAGATTGGTACAGTGAAAAAAAACCACTATGAAGACGGACAATAAAGTGCCGAATGTTTGATAGTTAGTAAGACAGAAGTTGAGATTGTGATAATTTCAAGTGATCATATCTGAAGAATTGATTGATTGAGTTGCCAAGCTGTTGATAAGAAAAGGCCAGAAAGGTAAATAGTAATGACATATCCCATTTCCTGAAACTACTTTTAATATTGATCATTTGTTAGGCATCGTAAGGTGGCCAAATGCACATTTGAAATTACAGTGGGTGCGCGTAGCGCAGTGTCTAGACATTTTCTAAAACAATTTTCCGTAATTAGTATGAGATCCATTACTCCCTTACTGATTTTGTAATCGAAATGTACTCATTTCTGTCATAAATGCTGAGGTTTCGAACAACTACCAAAAATGCTTAAAATTATAATAAGAGTTAGCTAGTCTTAAGTCGATTTTTTTATAAGTCAAGTTGATAAGTACAGAATAAAGTTCATTTTGCGTTGATGAGGAGGGTGCTATCCGTTTGGTTTTATTGAGCATCGTTTACTTTAATGAATGCCCGGACCTATACAATAACTTGCTTCTTCCTTGATGTTCTAGTGCGCGAGTGTTTTTCATCTTCTCAAATGAGTCTAATAGCAGTGTGGCCAATGGAGGGCGAAAGAGGAATCGCGGAGTGGTTAGCAACAAAGGCCATTGAAAAGCAAAATTCTGCTTTGACACCCCTCCATAACGTTTCTTGCAGCTTGAGAACATCTTAGCTTGGGACCTCTCTTAGACTGTAAGGAAAATCAAATCGACCAACACTCTAAGAGATATGAGAAATTTCATACGAAGCAGCCGAAACAGCATACAAAATGTTTGAGGACTCTTAGATAGGATTGAAGAAGTGCTGGAAACTGGATTACCTCTGTGAGTGAGATCTTAGAGGATATGAAAGGACTGAAACAACCAATTAGGAACTTTAATGTTGTGGAGATCGGTCCTCATTTCATTATATCAACGTTTCGCAAATTTTAGAAAATCAGCCATCATTATGTTAGATAGGAGGCTGTGTCCAAGTAGCTGTGACGTTTGTCGCAGCGCGTGGGGTCTAGCCTCATCTCCCGACATTCTCCGGCAGTCAACAACGATTGCTTATGGAACGTCACAATCAAGCTATCCTCGACATTGCCAAGATGGCGGGCTCATCCAGTATTCTATGACGCTGAATAAGACGTAAAGCGACTGAATGCTAGAAGTACTGAGATTGGTACAGTGAAAAAAAACCACTATGAAGACGGACAATAAAGTGCCGAATGTTTGATAGTTAGTAAGACAGAAGTTGAGATTGTGATAATTTCAAGTGATCATATCTGAAGAATTGATTGATTGAGTTGCCAAGCTGTTGATAAGAAAAGGCCAGAAAGGTAAATAGTAATGACATATCCCATTTCCTGAAACTACTTTTAATATTGATCATTTGTTAGGCATCGTAAGGTGGCCAAATGCACATTTGAAATTACAGTGGGTGCGCGTAGCGCAGTGTCTAGACATTTTCTAAAACAATTTTCCGTAATTAGTATGAGATCCATTACTCCCTTACTGATTTTGTAATCGAAATGTACTCATTTCTGTCATAAATGCTGAGGTTTCGAACAACTACCAAAAATGCTTAAAATTATAATAAGAGTTAGCTAGTCTTAAGTCGATTTTTTTTATAAGTCAAGTTGATAAGTACAGAATAAAGTTCATTTTGCGTTGATGAGGAGGGTGCTATCCGTTTGGTTTTATTGAGCATCGTTTACTTTAATGAATGCCCGGACCTATACAATAACTTGC